CGATAGCCGACTGCGAAGTCAGCCCAGTTCTCCAGGAAACCAAAACCTTCCATCTGACACCAGCTCCGGAGCCACTTGTTAAGCTCCCTCAACTCGCGCTGTCTGTCCGGAGTGGCTCTTGGCACCGGTAGTATCTCTGAGAAAACTACCGTGGAGGTCCTTTCCTTCAGCCTAGCACCTAGGTCTCTGAATGGAGGAATCTCCCACTGGGCCAAGCTTCAATATCCTGCTTGTCTGCCCACTGGCTCTCAAAACACCTGAACAATCTTATTAGATGCAGGCAATGTTCAAGTGTTTTGAGAGCCTGCGGGGCCGACTAGCAAGATATTGAAGCTTGGCCCAGTGGGAGATTCCTCCATCCACACAGTTTAGCGTAGATGGAGGAATCTGTTGCACTTTTTACATCTGACCATAGAAAATCTGCAGAAAATCTATAGGTGTATGGCCTAGCTTAAGACTGACATTTTCATCTTTACGTTAAGTATGCAAGTCAAACTTTCTACAATACAGACATGTGTGAGGTGGGTTTGCACCTACTGCATTAGCAGCTTACACTTTCCAGTTGTGAGACCTGTTGGCCATAAGGGACACCTCAAGCTGCCCACTTACCGTACACATATTTGCTAAGCTACTTTGGGATTTAGTAATGACTGGCATTAAACCTTTGTTGCCCAGTTTGGGTTTGCAAGATTTTAATGACTAACTAGGTTTGTGCAAGTAATTTATTTAACTTAATGAATGTGAAAAATAAAAAAATGCAGATACCTGGTAGATGGTCGGGAGACTTAAATTTATATGTTATATTTCTACACTGTAGGATCTCCACTATCAGCTGTTCTCCGTCTGTCTTCATTTCTTTTTTCAGAGCAATTTTGATTTCACCCATAACTTGGGTTTTACCTGAAATTCATTTAGGTAAATGTAAGTCCATAGAACACTTATACAGACATTACCAGGCCCGTTCAGTAAACATCATTGTACAAAACAGCAACCAATTAGAACTAAAATATTTTTAATCAAACTACTCAAGTCAAGTAAACTGAAAAATGATTGATTGTTACAGGTTATTGCATTCTGCAGTACCTTCATAAATGTGCTAGATAGTAGAATAATATGTCTTTATTGTTTTGTTTACATGGGTACCAGTAATCACTTTTCTAACACTGGGTATTCTAATCTATAATTTGCTTTTTACTATTGTCAAATAAAAACATGTTATACCTAAAATCTTGTGAGAAAATAAATATTTTTTTCTGGCATATCTGTAGGAGAACTAAGACAATAACTATGAACGATGGCTTTGTGTTACAGCTTGGAAAACTAAATCAAGCACTTCAAGTCTACAACAAGCATGAATGAATTAATGTTTCCATGGTGAGCCATTTTCTATTTACTGCCACTATAAGCAATAAAGTACACTGGTAATAATCGTTCCCTTGCTGTGATAAAAAGAAAAAGAAAACTCCAAAACTAGAGCATATTGTTATATACAAATAATATAGAAGGGTGTATTTATGTGCAACTATGTATAAGAAATAAAGAAATGATGAGATTGTAGCTTTTTTTCCAGGGAGCTTTTTAATACATATGTGTTCTGAAAGAAACACTAGCTCTGTGTGGCTGACTCAAACTTTGCTTGGTGGTCAGCAGCTTTCCAAAGGCTGCCAGCTGCCACCACTCTTGATAAAATCAATACTGACAAAAGGCATCGAGTGGAGTCTGATGACTGATTTTGGATGTTGATTGCTTTCTGCTATGCTTGTATGCATATACAGTAGTTGGATGTAAGTGCAATTAAGTTTTATTTATTGATTTTAATAAATGTTTTTACTCAATGAGCTGTGTTTTATATCCTGGAGTTTTCAAGTGGTATTAAAGCTGAAAGATGCACAGAGAAGAAGTTCCAGGGTGCTTTGAAATCCTTTTTGATGATATTAGGCTGTCTGGAATTCCATTAACCAATGTGATCAGGAGGTACCTGCGGGATCTGTGTGACCAGATCTCCCGGATAAAACTGGAATAGTTCTGTGGAATATATGCAGTAATGACCTCAGTATAACATACAAGGTCACACTCAATCTGGTGAGTGCGGATTAAGTTGTGGGGTACACGTAGTGTAAATTAACTGGTGGTGATTGCAAATATTTAGCAAGCTCTATCTAATATTCAAGACTAATATTCAAGACTTTACACAGTTTGATATATGTATTCACTGAAGATTAAGCATTATTGGATTTTGAGATTATGATTTAGCACGTTACACTTTCGTTTTAATATCTGTGTTTTAAAATGTGTTTAAGTTAGCTACCCTAATCAGTATCACACAGATATATACTGTATTTATATATAGATATATCTGTAGATATATCTATATATATCTATAGATATATCTATATATATATATACACACACTGTATATACAGTATTTCTTTTTCATTACTGAAGCATAGCACAGTCTTGTTTTCATTTTCTAAGTTTCCAAAGGCTTTCCTGTAGAGATTAGAGGATAACTGGGCAGGTGGGTATGATCTGGCCATTCTCGTTGAATATCTTTAGGGCATTACAGAATGTTCCATAAAATTGCAAGTTCCGATCTGCTAGCCTAACAAGTTTATGTCAATGAAGGCAGAGACTGGTGCTGCCTATCTCAGTGTACAATAGCAATTAGTGCAGGTTGCCTGACTGATGTTTTCCCACAGAGCTCTTAGCCAGTGGGCATTTGCCTGCCGCTTTAGACATGAGATCATTGCCCAGTCTGGACAACTGTCATCTCACGTCTATGGGTTGTTTACCTGCATTTAGGTGTCTATTGAGATGTTCTTATATTGAATTCTCGTATTTTATATATCTTGAATTGCCTTGCTCAAACAATTTACTTGAAAGTAGAAATGCACCCATTATTAAGCATTGGATCTTCCCCAAGCAAGCATGCAGGTAGCAGCAGCCCTGAAAAAAAACAACTTTATCTGTGTATGCTTTGAGATCAATTTTGCAGAACACTTGTCTGTAAGAACAAGTTATATTATATGGAGGTATACCAATTGAAGTGATGACTTACAGATTTTACAAAGTTGGCTTCACTTCAAACATATCATGATATCAGTCATCATTTTGGTAAGATATGTTTTATAAGTTTAATTTTAAACAAATGACAGATAATGTTCTGTTGCTGATCCATAAGGCAGACTTTGTTGAGGATCTAAGGCCCATCTTTGAAGATTAGAGATATCTGATGTGATTTTTGGTAATGCTTTTCAAAATAATATTAAATATAACAGTGTATTTTAACATTTTGGTAATTTTTCAATATTACATTGTAGAAAATAGCTGTCTTTATGATTAACGAGAGAACTTTCCTTAACTTCCAGATAACAGACTTTTCAAGACGTTTTACATGTATTGGAAAGGGTAATTAGCTGTACTATTCAAACAAGAATAATTCCGTTAGCACATCACTGTCTTTATTCTGACACGGCTCCGTGTCAGAATAAAGAAAAAAAAACAGAAAGCAGTGTTTCTCTCCTGGGCGGCCGGGAGCGGGAGACTCCCGGAGCGCCCTTGAGAGTTTGCTGTCTGGAGATCAGTGTCCCTGGTTAGCTGGTAACCAGGGACACTGATCTCTCTGCAAGTGACCGGACCCAGCCATAAGATCACGGCTGGCCCCGCCCAGCTGTCAGAAGCAGGCTGTCAGCCGGCCAATGGCCGGCCGCTCGGCCAGCTTCAACTTTCAGCGCGGCCCAGCCGAGCCGAGGCATATGCCTTCGGCTTGACTGAGCCTCTCGGTTAAGTTCGGGAGCTGTACGGGCTATTGTGGACCCCTTCGGTTCTACTGAACCGAAGGGGTCCTGGGGCCAAAGCTAGCCGTAGGATCGACCGAAGGTCCGGCTAGATCCTTCGGCTGATTCGTGAATAGATACCAAAGTTCAAAGGCCCTGCAATGCTAAAATTATCCTGGGCAAATTGCACATAATTTTGCCTTGGCCACAAGTCCCAAAACACAGGATTTTCCCCAAATCCATGGTAGCGGTGATTCTAAACCGTATCCCTATTCATTGTAAGCAACAGCATGTTTCTAAACAGCATAGAGTGGTATGAATTCTGCTGTTCATTTAGCTTGTGACACAAGTGACTGCTTCATTAATAACAATGTTCAGATTTTTTTTTACATTTTGTAGTTTTAATATATTTAATTACACTCATCAGGCTCCTACACCCCTGCCAACACATATAAACAAGGAACACTGGTTCTGCCTCTCTCACTCTTAAGTCTACAGCTGGGATGAGAGTTGAATCATGCCAGTATCTGTAACATAGTATACTGACAGCATAACCTGTTTACCTGTAGAGGTATGTTTAATGATTATAATTAGGTCATCAAAACAAAGGACTGCCAAATGGAATTCAAGCAGACATAGCCAAGTGACTAGATATGACTTACCCTCTGTTTCAGTCAAGCCCATTCCAGTTTGGTCTTGTCCATTTTGATTCATTTTTCCACTTTGAAAACAAAATTAATGAAGATGACTTCTTTGAAATCTTACAAAGTTACATTGAAACATACAGTATATCTTTATCCTGTTGGTGGCAGAGTGACTATGTTTTCTGTTTTACTGATTAAAAGGCAATATATTGGTGAAAGGTTAGGGAATGTATTGATTGCTTAATAACAATAGCTATTCATGTCTGATTATATTTATAGCTGTTCCTAGCTGTAGTAAATCTAACAAACCCATTTAAAGTATTTAAAGTGCCGCACCAGGCAAACAGCTAAATATATGGTTAAATACAAACATGCACCTATTTGAAGGATTGGTAATTCTGTGTGCTAATTCTTATTATTTACACTAATTTTCCATACTTCATAGCCATAAAAGTGAGAGATGTATCTTTCCAGTTCAGCAATGCAATGCCCTATGTCAGTGCTCCCCAACCTTTTTATCGCCGCGGACCGGTCAACGTTTGATAATTTTACCGTGGCCCGCTGAGGGGGGTACGTTGATATATGGGGAACACTGCCCTATGTCACCTCTCTACCTCATGTCCTAACTAAACGGGGTATCATCATTTTGGTCCAGTAAGCAGCGAGCTGGCCAGAGAAGCAGTCATGCTAAACCAGGAAATAACAGCATGACGTTACTGACTGGCAAGGATTACCAAGTAAAAAAATAAAAAAAAAACAAAAAAACCCTAATATAGTCACCGCATCTAGGGACTGCTAATTGCAATACATTTTTTTTTCTTGAGTTTAGATACCTTTCACATTTAACTTTTACAAATTACTTTTTATGTTTTGTCAAATCATAAAAGCATATGAATGTTTTCAGTCTTTTTTTTAAAGGGTTCCTATACAGCATTCTAAACACCCAAGAGAAAAATAGACCTAGGGAAGAGATGCCAAAAACACAAATCAAATGTAAATCAGCTGAAAAGTAGAGAAAAGGAAATGTGAGATAAAGACCCAACATATTTGTCTCCCTTTTTATACAAGGTCCATTAAAGGAACTACAAAGCCGTTTAGTTACACATGTAAATGTAATAAGCATAAAGTAAACTTGTCATATATGGGCCTGTCATTGCTGACCTCCTTCTAAAGATACAAGCTGTCTGGCATTAATGCTGGCTCACTTACTTAAATACTCTAGCTCTATGATCCAGAACTAGGTATGAGCTCTGGGTTTGTCACATTTGTCCAGTTTGCCTGCCTGAATCCCTGGCTGATGTTTGCATTAACCAAATCAGATGAAAGTCTGTCATTTTGTGGCAGTAGCACTACCTCCGCAAAAAAATAGTTCCCAGGCCAGCTGAATCTGTAAGCAGATGTGCCAGGGGATCCTGGGTGATTTAATTGACCGAATATGGTAATGACCATGTTTAGCCATTAACATTTGCGATGAGAGTAGAGGCAGGCAAACATCTTTACATGTGGCAGGTTGTTGTGTTGGCAGGTCATCATGATTGATCATCTTTGCTGGATGACATGGTTGATGTTGCATTTAAATGGGAGAACTTTTTTTAAGTGAAAAACATGCCACATTGTGGTCATGTTTATTTGATTTTTGACTCTGTGTTGTGAATAGGTAACAATATGTAGCCACATGCCTTCAAAATTTGGAGGGTACCTTGAACGTGTGGGTGGCAAAGCCCCCTTGCATGGCACCTTATCCCCAATGTTGAGGGGACATAGGCTTCATCCCCGCATCCTGTCCCCCAAAAGGTAAAAGGTAAATAAAAACACCCACAATTTTTTGGCTTTAAGTAGGGTGGGGAAGGGTTAGGACATCCAGCAGGTTTTATTGCTGTCTGTGTTGATGTTGCAAAGAATTGCCACCATTCTCCCCCCACTGATACAGCAGGAAGTAAGGATACATTTGGCCTTTAGGGACCCAAAAAAATAATGCAAAATGTTTGCCAGGTTTATGTCTTTCCCATTCTATTCCAATTCCATGTATTACTTTGCAGTTTCTTTATGACCCCTTATATTGTGTTCCCATGACTCAAAATAATGTGAAAGGAAGTGAGAGAATATCTTACTATTGGTGACATGAACAATAAGGACCAGAAGCAACATTCTTTTGTTTCTGTCATAAATGTTTTTCTACCCCCAGACAAGTCAATGGGAATGTAAAATCAACTTAAAAGCAGTTGATGCAACATAGAATGAGGTCAAATTCAGGTCACAAGGAAGTTACATGCAGGTCAAATACACCTATGAATGAATTCTGTATGATCTCAAACATCTCAAAAGGTTGCAAAATGGAAGCAGAAGGTACCTAAAAGCAAGCTGCATTTGCCCATTGACACATGCCCTTATAAAACCTTACAGATATTCTATCCCTTCTTCAGTCTAACAAAATTTGCAAAAAGAGGTTATAAACCTTCCCCACTTTATCCAAACAAACAACATTTTCCGGTTGTGCTTCCTGCTCAGACTAGAATGCGAACTAACTTCCAGAAATACAGTCATAGAACATTTGGCATGTAAAAATGTGAAAAGATGCCTCAAAAACTATTTGCAGGTAAAAATTACCTTACATTAGAAAGAAATCAGCTTACATTAGTAATAAGGTAGGCTGCAATTTTTCCTTGCAAAGAAAACAAAAATGACTTACATTCTGGGAACTTGAAACAGATTGTTTTCTCCCTGTGTATTGTTGCCATCATTTTCCATGTTGTACCCATTGACATAGCTACTCGCTGAAGAAGTTGTAGAAACAGTAGATTCAGTAGTCCTGTGAGTCGTTCGTGCTGTACAAAAAGAGGCAGATGGCAAATTATAGACAATGGAAATAAAATATGATTCCTAAAATTATGCAATATAATACAACATTGGAAAGATATAAAACTCCTAAACACCTAGTACAAGACTCACTACAGTAACAAACATAAATACAGTATGCTGATAATATAAATATACAATTTACATTTCGTAAAACTTGTGTTAAACTTACAGAATGCAGAATGTATGCATTTTAATAATAAACAATTATTCAGCCTGTGATTATTGAATCAGCACAGTACATGTTAGGTGATCTCCCTATTACTGCTTATGGAATGTATAAAATAATTATCTTTGAAAAATTTAACTTTCACATTGCTTGACATACTGTTCCACATATACAGTAAGTAAGCTGCACTGTATATATGTATAAAGGCTCATTTAATATTTCCCTTTAATGAGTGTTAATATATTATAAGTTAGGGCTAGATATTGTCTATTTTGTTCATTCTAGGTTGTCAGTGATTGAGCATGTAAATGAACTGGCTTCTAAGTTTGTTTTCTATGCAGGTTTAAGATAATATTTTGTAGACTAAACACAGGGTTTTTTTGTTTTTTTTTTTAAAGAAGCACCTGAATATTAATTGTTTTCTGTGGTTTTGTTAATACATCTTATGAACCGATCTTTTATTTCCTAAATATTTAATTAAAATTATATCATTTTCTGTGCTTCAAATTTGGGGCCTTTACTACCCAGGCGTAAAAATGTAATTTCAATTGCCTCTGTTACACAATAAACTCAGCCTAAGTCTAGCCCAGCTCCAGACAAATTTTAATAAAAGACTATAACAATAAAATAAATAAGATAGCACATGTATCATCAGGTCAGGAAGCCACAGACAGCAATATTAATATGCTTAGATTATCCACTCTTCATGCATTTTTGCTTTACTGTCTCCCAATAACCCCATTTCAGCTGGGGCAGAAAGTGAGTTAGGATGTCCTCAAAGTGGACACATCAATACATGTTCTTTTGAGTGTGGTAAGATTAGGTAAGATTAGTATGTAACCACATGCTGTTAGTAGATTGATTTTTTTTAAACATGAAGATTTCCCAGAGTATTGCAATTTTCTTTCCCACTTAGTTGGCCTGTCAGTCAGGTCTTCAGATTTGGAACTCTATGCTATATGGTCAGTCAGTGGATATCTTTTAAAGGAATATGTAAAAAGATTGTTTCTGTTTCCAAGTTGTCCACTCCTGCCAAGCTTTTTTTTACTATGATACTTTTCTGAGGAGCAACAGCAAGTTATTAGTACTGTACATCCCCTTTCATGAATATAAATAGCAGTATATTTCTAAAACAGTAAATGTGACATTCACTAACCATTCAGTGCAAGTGTATTTTCCTAGTGCATGTGATTAAAATTATAGTGAATGATTCATCAACAGTAAATGTTTAGCTAATGTCTCATCCACTGTTTTATAAATATGTTCCCTAGATTTGTTTCAGAAAATATATTCCTTTTGTTTACTTCTAAATGTGTGAGCAAGTACTGATTTCTGGGTGTACTTTGTGTATTCATGACTTACAGGCTAACTGCAGCCAAAAGGTTTTATTTTGTTTTGGATAAAATGAGAAAGGGTTAAAGTCATACTAAACTCAGGAGTTAAACCTTAAAAATACATTCAAGCACCCTAACTATTAACAAAAATGTAGTTTATTTGTGTATCACTCAGCTGTAGATCATCAAATCACCTCTGAATTGGTGCTGACACTGTCCTTCCTTCTGGAGGGTGGCTACTTTTGCTCCCCATGGTCCTTGTGTGTGTTGTAAAGTAGCCACCACTCCAAGTTTGCTGCCATGATGGACTACACTCTAGTGTTTAATTTATTAATTTATATTGTTGGTAGTCCATCACAGGAGTGAGCTTGGAGTCGTGGCTACTTTACAACACACACAGGCACCATGGGGAACAAAAGTAGCCACCCTCCAGAGATTATTTGAGGATCTACAGCTAAGTGATACACAAATATACATTTGTGTTAATAGGGTGCTTGAATGTATTTTTAAAATTTAACTCCTGAGTTTAGTGTCACTTTAATATCTTTTTCAGGTTTTAGTTGCTGTCTGTATCTGTATTTGTTGGGGGGATTCCCTCTCACTTCCTGCCAAGTTATAGGAAATCTCTCCACTGGGGAAATACAGAAACCAATTTAAAACAAATATTTAGCAAATTGGGTTATCGATAGAACCTCTGACAATATGTTATTGCTGTAGATGGCTGAAGAACAATTACAAGTACACATAACTTCAGCACTGATTAAATTGAGCATTTACAGTGAACAATCCCTCAATAGCAATCTACAGTTCAGCCTAACGTCAAATCCCAGACTGTGACATTGGTGGAAGTACTTTGCCAGCACTGTGTATAATTAAGGATCCAGTAAGAACTCATCTGCAATAAATTCTCAGTGGAACAAATTATAGGATTGTGCTAATCTGCAACTTCTCAACCATATAAATTTTTATTATTTCACATACAAAAGGAAAACAACAATATATTTTTTTGCTTGTGCAATCTTTTAAAAAGTATGCCTTGCCATGCAACAAGCCAAATAAGGCAACAAAAACTAAGTATGCCTTCCCTATACATATATAAACAAGAAAGAGTTTGAACATATATTTTTTGTATTGTATTTCTCTTTAATAAAATTTCAAATTTTATTTAGTAAAGTTTGTGATAAATTACCAACAAAACTACCACTATGAAGATGTACACTTCTCCTGGCAGTGCACAATTTAGTGAAATCATAATAGGAGGGTATTAGTATGCAAATACTGATAAATTTAGCATTAACAATCACTAGTACAGTAATATGAACCCCCAGTCCAGCTCATATTTACAACCTGGACAGTGCTTTCAGTATTTTGGAAACACTTTATTGAATGTCCCTGCAGTTTACAGAGAAACCACTAAGAACTCAGCATCAGTGGCACACCAAGAGTGGAGAGATGACAGCATCACATCTTGGGTGAAGGCACAACTATGGGGTCTATTCACAAAGCTGCCGAGGGCAGCCGAGTGAATGACCGATCAGAAGTGAAGTGAGCCGAACACTGTTCGGCTATTCACTTCAGGCTGGTACGGCTGATTTCAGCCGTACATCGGCTTGCTTCGTGTGGCTTCGGATCAGCCGAACATGCTCAGCATGTTCGGCTGATCCGAAGTGCAGAAGGAGTTCGACTCAGCCGATCCAACATCTGGATCGGCTGAGCCGAAAGAATGACCTTAAAGAATATATGCAGAAAATATATACAGAACCACTACCAATTGACTTTAAAACTGGGTTTTCTAGCCTGAAAATACATTTTGTATTCACAAGAACTTGCAATTAAGTTGCAATTATAACTTTTGCTTGATGACAAGCAGTGGAATATTTTATTATAGGGAAACAACAATCAGGTAGTAAATTTGTTGGTATATAGTACTATTACACCTTACCTTCAGCCTTGACGGACCCATCGGACATCACCTTCTTGAGTGCAAGCTGGCTTTGGTCTTTGCTGTCATTTGCTGGTGAAGGCAGATTGTCAGACTGAGTTCTTTGAATTGGGAGTACTCCTGCTATGCTGTGTCTATGCTGATTCCTGGCATAATTACACTGATTGCTTTTATGTGCTGCTGTGGCAGTGTGGGTGAAATGGAAACCCATAGTATGTATCCTCAGATGGAACCAGCTTAAATGTTATTCATGCAAACAGAAGTGTTCTTTTCTGTATTCAGATAGGTAGTGTTTTTAACATCAAAGAGACACCACATGCACAGCATTAAGGGGCTTTAAAACTGGCTGTTTCTTTTTATTGGTTTAAAAATGTTTCCCACCATGGTTTTAATCCTGTGAGAATACATGCAATAACAAATTCCTGTGACAAACACAAGTATGTCTCTTAGAAAGTTTTCATTCACTTAAGCAAAAACTCTGGGCTCCTGATTGTAATAACAAGTCATATTCCATAACATCACAATAGCGCTGTTCAGGAAATGGATTTCCTGTTTTCTGTTGAAGCATAAATATAAATAGCTATACCATAAGGTTGAAAACAAAAGCAAATTATTATTTACAATAAAAGTGCTTGGTTTAACATAAGGAATCATAGTTTCCGTGTATATTATCACTGTCTCTATAATCTGTCTTTATATATCTGAAAATAACAGGCATATAATAGGAAATCTGTAGCGTCCACAGTGATGTGAAACATAGCAATGATTGGTTGTAAATTTAGCTGTGGATTTGTATAACCAGACATTTAACCATACACAGCAGAATTAGGTCACTATGCAGAAAGGATTGCTGCTATCTTTACTATTTTGCCATAAACTTTTATTAGTAGATTGATTTTTTTTTAAATAGGCATAGCCTGCTGTAAAATTATAAACATGGTATGTCCCACAGTTACAGTCTACAATGGCTAGGTTGCCCCACTTCAAATAATGAATACAAAGTTATGTTTTAGCAACTACAAAAAAGCTGAGGGATCTGTAAAAGAAATCCTACATTTGACTACCGCCTCAAAATGTGTGTTAAGAGAACATATTTCCATGTATTTAGTATTACTAAGTATGGCCTATACCTTCCTTTGTTTCAAATAACATCATATACATTAAGCCCTTGCATCAAAAAGTTTGTTACATTTTACAGAACTGATATTAAGAATTATGGGGCATGTTTCAAGGTCTGTACATACTGTATTACACTGTAGATTTTTTTTTTACTAAGTGAAACTTTACCCGTTTGACATCTTTATGCCTGCCTAACTATAGAGCTTTTTTTTCATCTGTACCAAAACCAAAAAGTTTGATCTTTATAAGAAAAACAATCTAGACTCTACAATAATTCTACAGTTTTAAAAAAACATAAATACACTTATTTTTTTTTACATATTAGGAATATTTGTCTGAGCATGCAGTGATTTTTTACGCATTCACTTAGAATGGTATGAGAATAAGTATTTACAATAATGTGATTTGGTGTTATGACTGGTCAGGTGTGGCCAATGGTTATACGGTAGAGATCACATACATAGGTTTTCTTAAAATATCTGTTGGTGAATAAATGTTTACATGTAGATGATGCATATGGCAATATGTATGTAAAATAATATTCTAAACTTTATGATTCTTAAACTAATTTAAAAAAAAAGAAATGAGGATTGATTTACCTACAGAAGTTGAACAAGTAATCAACACTATGGGCATAACAGACTTAATACGAGATGAAAACACTTTGATGGTAGTATGAACCAATGAGGAAACAGCCAGTTTCATTAAGTTTCAGTAAACAAAAAATTAGGTAACATATATTAAATGTGGACAAAATTTTCACAATAAAGGACATTTAACAAGGTGAACAAGTAGTGACAACAAATAATGGTCAACAAGGGGAAACAGCAGGAAAAGGCAACAGATGAACATTAAGCTGCCATGCTGAGGAATTTATTTGCGTCTTTTACTTGGTTGAAGGCGAAGCTGTTGGACAGCTGCTTCGGCAGCAGCGATGGCTGCTCCAGCATCTTCAAGGTGGGTCTGAGTGACACTGCCTTTACTTTGGCTACGTGATGGTCCATGTGAACGGAGGTGTCCCTCAGAGGATGACTTTGAGCTGCCAGGGCTGCTATGAGATTTCTCTATAGTGGGAACCTGCATATCTAGTAGTAAAAAAAGTTTTAATATTGCATACTTCATTTGAATTTACTTATTCTATATCTACCAAAACACCAGTTAGACAGTTAGGTAGAAAAAATTCACAAGTCCATCAAGTTTAACCCAGAGAAAAAAAAAGACCCCCCGCATAAACAGAACCCTATGCTCACAGTTACCCACATTTGAGCCAGAGGAAGGAAAAAACCCTGTAAAGCATGGCTCACTTTGCTCCAACAGGCAAAAAAAATTCTTCCAGATCCCATAAGGCAAATGGCTATCCCCTGGATTAACAACCTCTGGTGTTTTTTTATGTGTATTTTTTTTTATTTAATTATACGCTATACATTTAAGAATGCATCCAGGTTTTTTTTTTAAACTGTTAACGGAGCTAGCTAAAACTTGTTCTTGAGGAAGCCTATTCGACATTTTCACAGCTCTACTGTGAACCAGCCTTTCCATATGCAAATGTTAAACCTATTTTCCTCCAGAAGCAAACAGTCCCCCCTTGTCCTTTGCAGTGACCTTAAAGTGAATAGTTTTGCTATATGGACCATTTATGTATTTAAACATAGTAATCATATCTCCCCTTAATTGCCTCATCTCAAGAGACAACAAATTAAGTTCAGCTAATCTTTCTTCATATCTGAGCTTCTCCATGCCTCTTATCAGTTTAGCTGCCCTTCTTTACACTCTCTCCAGTTCCACAACATCCTTTTCATGTACTGGTACCCAAAACTGAACTGCATATTTCAGATGAAGTCTTACTAATGCTTTCTATAGGGGCAGGGTTATGTCTCTCTCTCTGGAGTCTATGGGGTTGATTTACTAACCTTATAAACACACCACGAACATGTATACACCTCTGTAGTGTGTTCCCTCCCAGCATGATCTATGGGTGGAATCTAAACACCTTTGTAGTGTGTACACACCCAGCAGGTGTGTTGTGCAAAGCCAAGCATGAATTGCAAGGTGATGTTGTGTAAATTAGCTCTATGTTGTGTTGCTTGCGTTGATGAATGCAGGAATGTAAATGCATGAGCTAACCATTTTTGTCTAAACTGTGAAGCAGCATTATATATGCATCATGTGCATGATTTTTCCATATATGGCATTAGTGGAAATATGCTTTTAGAGACTTTTTGGTTGATAAATACGTTTTGCTATGTGAAAATCACACGCACCTGGTGCGTGCGTGTGTTTAGGTTAGTAAATCACCCCCTATGGTTTACCAGAACACCCAGATCCTTCTTGATCATTGACTCCCCCAATTGTACTCCTCCTAGAGTGCATAATACATGCATGTTTTAGTTCCCAAATGCATAACTTTATATTTATCAACATTAAACTTAATTTGCCAAATAGATGCCCAATGCCCAAAGAGTGTCTTTTCAAGTGGATTCAAGGGCAAATAGAAATACAGCGGTACCTCGGTTCCCGAACTTAATTGGTTCCACGATTCTGGTTGCGAACTGAATCTCATTTTCCCATAGGGTTCAATGTAAATCAGGTTAATCCGTTCTGACTCCTACGAACATGGTCACGAACCGATTTTTGGTCGCGAGCAGAATCACATTTTCCCATAGGGTTCAATGTAAATTAGGTTAATCCGTTCTGAACCATATTGAAAAAAAAAATGTAACCACATAAATATGAAACAAAGCACAGTATGAAGACAGTCAACACTAACCTTTCTTGGGGCGACTTCTGGCATGGAGGACGGAAAGGTGGGTGGGGAGGAGGTTATTGCTTGGAGGGAGGGTCCTCCTCCATAAGGACATCGGGGAGATCTCCTTCAGGGGTTTCCTCTCTTCTTTGTCTCTCAGCTGCAGGGTCAATTTTGGCGAAAAATCTGTCTAATGTCACTTGTTTTTTCCGCTGCAGGACCCTCCGGAAATGAGAGACCACGTTGTTGTTAATCTGATTCAAGACTCTGTTCATCACAGTTATGTTGGGGTGGTGCTTCTCAAAGAAATCCTGGCACTCATTCCATTTTTCCATTATGGATGTTATCACATCACTGCTAACCTCCTCCCTTTCTTCCTCTTCCTCGTTGGAATGCTCCTCAACAAGTGCCTTCTGCTGCTCACTCTGGAGATCAGCAAGTTCTTGCGTCGTCAGCTCCTCCTTATGGTCCTCAACAAGCTCCTCTATGTCTGCACCATGGACGTCCAGACCCATAGTCTTGCCCATGGACACAATCTCCTCCACTACCTGTGCATCAGACTCTTCCGTGTCACGTTCAGTGACACATTCTGGCCACAGTTTCCTCCAGGCTGATTTCAAGGTCCGGTATGTGACATCTTCCCACACTTTGTCAATGAGGTTGATGCAGTGGACGACATTGAAATGTTTCTTCCAGAACTCTTTCAGAGTCAGAGATGTCTCTTCAGTGACATTAAAACACCTGGTGAAGAGCGCCTTTGTGTACAGCTTCTTGAAATTGCAGATCACTTGCTGGTCCATGGGCTGCAGAAGAGGTGTTGTGTTGGGGGGGAGGAACTTGACCTTTATGAAGTCATACTCAGCGTCCATATCATCCACCAAGGCTGGAGGGTGTGCTGGGGCATTGTCCATCAGAAGAAGGCACCTCTCAGGCAGTTGGTTGTCAGAAAGATATATTTTAACGGTGGGTGCGAACACCTCGTACAGCCATTCCATGAACAATTGCCTTATGATCCAAGCTTTCGCATTGGCCCTCCACATGACAGGCAGTCTGGCCTTGTTCACAATCTGTTCCTTAAATGCACAAGGGGTCTGGGAATGGTACACCAGTAGTGGCTTAATCTTCAGATCGGCGCTTGCCTTCGCACACAGCAAAAGGGCAAATCAGTCCTTAATGGGCTTGTGCCCCCGCAGTGCCTTTTCCTTCTGCGTGATATAGGTTCTGTTCAGCAGCATCTTCCAAAAGAGCCCTGTTTTATCGCAGTTGAACACTTGTTGAGCGACGTATCTTTCTGCCTTCATGAATTCCGCAAAGTCTTTCTTGTAGGCTTCTGCTGCGGCCTTATCAGAACTGAAAGCCTCATCATGTCTTATCACACTGTGGATGCCACTTCTCTTGTGGAATTCTTCAAACCACCCTCTACTGGCTTTAAATTCATCACTAGATGAACTTGTGGAGGGGTTTTGCTGCAGCAAATCACTGTGCAATTTCCTGGCTTTTTCACAGATCATAGCTTCACTAACACTATCACCTGCCAGCTGTTTCTCATTCAACCACACTAACAGAAGTTTTTCCACCTCTTCCAGTACTTGTGTCCTCTGCTTGGTTAACATGGTTACTCCTTTTGCCACATCAGTTGCTTTGATGGCATCTTTATTCTTCAAAATAGTCGAGATGGTCGACTTCGCCATCTTGTACTCCGAGGCCAGATCAGTCACACGAATACCACAAACATGCTTTTCTACAATTTCCTTCTTCAATTCAATGGTTATTTTCTTTGAAACCTTGTTACCATTCTTGCTCTGCACTTTCTTGTTACTTTCATTATTGAGCTGCACTTTCTTTTTACCACCATTCTTGCTCTGCACATCCTTGTCACCTTCAATAACGCTCTGCACATTCTTGTTACCTTCATTAACGCTCTGCACATTCTTGTCACCTTCATTATTGCTCTGCACTTTCTTTTTACCAGCATTCTTGCTCTGCACATCCTTGTCACTTTCAATAACGCTCTGCACATTCTTGTCACCTTCATTAACGCTCTGCACATTCTTGTTACCTTCATTATTGTGCTGCACTTTCTTTTTACCACCATTCTTGCTCTGCACATCCTTGTCACCTTCAATAACGCTCTGCACATTCTTGTCACCTTCAATAACGTTCTGCACATTCTTGTCACCTTCATTAACGCTCTGCACATTCTAGTCACCTTCATTAACGCTATGCACATTCTAGTCACCTTCATTAATGCTCTGCGCTTTCTTTCTCCCACCATGCTTGCTCTGCACTTTCTTGGGAGCCATGCTGGATTGAATACAGTAATACTGTACACTATTGTGCTACAAAGCACACAAAAAAGCTTCTCAATAAGTGTCCACAGCCCTGTCAACAGCCCTGCGAACACAATCTCGAGTACAGGAAGCCACGACCATGTGTCAGAGCGGGAAGATGATAAGTAATAAGTACTATCCTTGTCGCACTCCTTACCGATATGTCCCTTGTAGTGGGGGGTGCTCGCAGTGACCGCTGATGGCGCCGCGAATGTCAGCAGAATTGTAGAAATGTCACCAGCACACCAATCCTTTTAAGATAGCAAAAGCTTCATTTATTGAAGTTTTTTGTCATATGACCAAACAAGCGCTTTCGGGACCGCACAGGGTCCCTTCATCAAGCTTTAGCTATAGCCTGATGAAGGGACCCTGCGCGGTCCCGAAAGCGCTTGTTTGGTCATATGACAAAAAACTTCAATAAATGAAGCTTTTGCTATCTTAAAAAGAGCGGGAAGATGGCCGCAGTCGTGTTCATCACGACTGCGGCCATCTTCAGAGTTTGCGAACGGAGGCAAAATTTTTACGAACTTCCTGTTCGCGAACCGAATTGTTCGTGAACAGAAGCGTTCGTGAACCGAGGTACCACTGTACTTAAATCCTTTGAATGAGAGGACCAAAACCATGCTTACCTGCCCCAAGTATCCATCTCCTTTCCTCTGTGGGTTTTTTTCCCCACTTTATGTCATTTTGGTTTATTAATTGTGTAATGGATAATTGTAGGAGAGTTTGGGGGGGTTAATGCTCGGCTCAGGTAGACAGGTTTTGGAGCTTGTAGAGGAAGCCAGACATATGGGGTGGTTTGCAAAATTAAGTAATATTGTAGTTGTAATTGTAGTGACCCGGTAAACCCAAAATGGTAGAGGAGAGGAGCTGTAGTCAGCAGGGATCGTCTAGGTGAAACAAATGGCTAGTTAGAAGATTATAAATATGTAATTTGTATTAATAGAGGATACAGGTAGTTAGACATGAGCCAGAATAGACCTGCTGATTGATATGCTGTGAATTAAAGAGTGTGCCTTCCTTTAAGTATGCCCTACTATTGTTTTAGATGTGATTAAGTGTAGTTTGGATCTTTGTATGTTAATTAAACTAATTAAAATGAATAAATAAAAAAATCAATTGAATAACCTGCTTGGGGGATGCCTTAAATGTGTACATGATGTAAAGAGTATGATTTTTATAGACGGTCTCAGCAACATCATACACTGGCTGGGCATATTTGGCTGTGGAATTGATTACCTTAATCTTATTAATTTAAGTTTGAAAACAAGCCTTTTTCTCAAGTACTCTTACAGCGACACATGCTTTTTAATAAAACCGTAGGCCCACTTTGACTGCCAGTAGTTCACTGCAAAGGTCCCTGTTCTCACTTGCCAGTTTCTTCTATAAAGAATTAAGACACTGCAGATAATACAGCAGTGTAAAATTAGCCAGCAGAAGGACATTTTCAGTGAGGGAGAATTGGTTGAAATATACTAAAGAAACAAAATACAGACAGTTGTTTTACTAGAACTAGGAGACCGCCGTTCACACAGCAGTGTAAAACTGGCCAGCAGCAGGATTATTTTAAATAGCAAGGCTAGATCCAAATGTACTAGAGTGAAAGCGCACAGGCTGGGGATTTACTGCAAGAATAAAGATACTGCAGAGGCACAGGTAGAAGTGAACCCGAGCGCTATCCCTATTGTGCACCTCTGGTTTACAGTTTCAGTCTTGAAAGCGAATAGAACCAATTGTGTTTGGAAATGACATATGTTTATGTCTCCAAAAATGTATCCAGATATTTGAGCTAGAAAATAAAGGATCCACCTCATATAGCCTACTCAGAAATTGATGTAAACCAGATACTGTAATGATGACTCGTTAAGTCCTTTCTAAATACAAGCATCACTTAGTAAATATGCCTCCTGCAGGGAAGCAGATTTACTAATGACTACCAGAAAGCTGATTAGCTGTTAGTAACCAGGTGCCCATGTTAACTAGCCTCACTATTGCATGGCAAGACTTGTTAATGGTAGTAAGTACACTAATCACCTTGTTGTGTGTTTGAATAATGCTAGTTCACAAAGTTTCCACACTGGTTGCCAAAGTGTGTATTCCGGCTTAATTCATAAATGTATGAAATACAGAAAACATCTGATTACCAGATTTTAAACACTACACAGAATCAAAAAAGAATAAATATTTAATTTAACTTTTAAGTATTACAATGTGTTACCTTTAGATGGATCTGGAAAGATTCCATGACTTCGGCTTTTAATGACCGATGGCTTTGGTGACTGCTGACTGCTTTGACCAGGGTGTTTTGTGTGGTCAATCGTTTCACTCTGTTCTTTCAATGGGTACCATCGTGGCATATTGTCGAGAAAGGCAGCATTTGATAAATCTATTAACACCTAAAAGTACAGCATTTATATATATATCACACATGTTCATAAATACATATAAATATAAAACTTATATGCACTTGAGTTGGTGTTTATTTTTTTGGTAGTAGCCCAGATAGCAAGAAATTGTGCTGCAAGTTTGAAAATGACTTGCTAAACTCTTGCAGACTTGCCAAGCTTCACAATTTTGTTGCACAATTACAGCAAGTCTGCATTGCAAGTCTCCAGACCAGCGAGCTTGCAGAGCTCTTGCTAAGACCTGCAGGACTCTTGCTGTAGACTTGCCAAGCAAATTTGCTACAAATTCAAAAATTGTCAACTAGAACTTGTGCTGCAAGTGTTCTGCAAGTCTACAACTTGCCAGGAATATGTGCAGCAAGTTAACAAAATTACAATTTAACCCCGACACAAGTTTGTGGCAAGTTATCCTTGCTATCTGGGAGTTGACTGAAAAATATACTTAAGCCATTAAATACAGGTAAACATTGCTTTATATATATATATATTTATTGATTTAACTGTAGAAAGTTTTCAAATTATCATTAGCATATGTACGTCTTATTCCATATATTTAATACAATTGCAAGAAATTGGGCATATATACATGATAAGGGAAAATATGACAAATTACAGCAACCTGAATCAACTTTATTTCTTTAAGACTTTTCATCACATGTTACATAAAGCAATAATGTTTAAACCAGTTTTGGATTAGCAAATTTGCATAGTTTGCAAATCTCTTTTCTTATGTATCTGCTTACCTCACCAAGAAAATCATTTGAAGAGAACCTGTCATAATCCCACACAGTAACTTCTAAAGTTTTCTTCTTTAGCTGCATTTAAATTCAAAACACGGTTAATTAAATTTTTCACAATGTCACAACCACTTCATCAATTTCCCAGGCAGATTATTTCATGCTTATGAAACAACTTAATGGTAACATTGATTTTAAAGTATGACTCTGTTGCATAAAACTTTCAAACTGACTAACTTTTCTTTAGTTTCAGCCAATCTTCAGTTTGCAATGCGTTACTATTTTTCAGATATTATTTTATTACTTTTCACAGTAATATTTATGGGAGGTATTACAAAAGGAAGATTTTTATTATTCTGAAATAAGCTAAGATTGTCATGATCTATGTATGGCACAGGTGTATAAATAAATAAAATGTTTAATTAAAAAAACACTAAGGGTCACTGGCAAGGGTAAGAGCCCCCAAAAGTCAGGCCAGATAAAGGGTACTGAGCTGAACAGCAAAGTAAGCATGCAATTGACAGTGTTGTGTCATGACATCTCCCAACAGATTCTACCCCCCAGAACAGTGTTGTAACAAAGCTTAATTAATAATCAAAAAATTACTATACCAATGTAGGTACTGCCTAAAATAATAAAGTAGGTCAGCTATAATCCTTGTCTAACAACACATGCACCCTCAAATCTCTGTCTTTGTGCTAGGAGCAGTAGCATCTTGGAGAAATCAATCAGACGTGATTAGAGCATTGTTCAATCATGATAGATTGATTGTTACTGCATGCTTGTGTAGCCTACTCTATAGGGAGCTATTTGCTTCATCTTGTTTAAATCTTTCTGTAGCAGAGGATTACAATTTGCCAGGTAGTTTAGCCCAGTTTTAAAAATGTGATAATAATAAAATATGATAATAAAAATAATATTATGATACTGTTCTATCACATAATGGTTTAAGCCAATAAAACCACTCTTGAGATCAATTTTTTATTTTAAAATGTATTGCCTAGCATTCGACTGTATAGCAGCAAAAAGTACACATTAAATAATGATGATAAAAATGAATGTACGCTAAATGAAAGACTATGAAATAATTTAACTACTCCAGTTAAAGTTAAAGCTGTGTAGGTGCTAAAAACAAACCCAACAAACCTGCTCAATGGAGATGTTCTTGTAAATCACTGTCTGATTCCATTCTGGGTTTAAACTTTTCTGTACATATTTTGTTCTTCTTTTATATTCAGCACTAAAAGAAACAGAGGAATTATCATAATTTAGTAAATGATACATACTTTAAAAAGAAATATCTTATCAACTGTAAGAAGTGGTTGACCAAGGTTCATGTTTCAAGATGTATGCGCTATTGTGCAATAACAATTACTTATCATCATATACTCAAATACTTTTCTGGATCCTTTCTTACCTTTGGAGTTATGGTGCCAACATCTATAAACTGGATGTCATTCACCATCTTCATGCAGTGACCATTAGGAAGGTAACTTCATAATTATATTACACCTCTGACTTCAATCAGGAAAGGCAAACTATGACTAGCATGTTTAGCTTGTGGCCAGATATGATTGTAACAACTAAAGCAGAAGGCTGGTGTAGGTGTTCCATATATTCAACCTAATGTTGAAGCATCTACTAGCACCTCTGGAGCTCCAGTTGCAAGTGCTTAAGTGAAGATGTTTACATTTGGGAGGCATTACTCATTAGGGCACTAAACTCTTACTGAAACATACTTTTTACTTAGCGGGTACAATCTTACATATTGTTTACACAGCTGGGCTGAACTAATAATCATCCTATGAAATTGCAAAATAGTAGTAATATGCTTGTGGCACAAATTACCATGTGAACAGATACATAAACACTAATGGAAATGTAGCATGGGCCAAAGTAACCAGATATAGGGGGTAGCTACAGTAGTAGTAGTTTGTGATAGTCAACTGGATTTGTTATTTTTTGTGGAAGAAATTGTGTAGCTTATCTCCAGTTCTAATAAGTGTCAGGAAAATACACCAGCATTTATTTCCACACAGGTTGCAGAGACATCATAACCCAATCACCATGGTAGGCAGATATTATTGTTCAAGTGGCTAGGATGAACTATAAAACACCTTTAACATTACAGAACAAATCCAGTTGTGTTGTGACTAACTACTACTAGCTACACGTTGACCTGGATAAAAGAGGCGCTTCATAGATAACCAGATGTCTTTATTTACTAACCTGAAAAAAAAAAATGCAAGTTGGATTTTGTTTGTTTCTGTACATCCCTTTTCTCTTGTTTGTGTAATGTACCCCCTGTATATACTGTATGCACATGTAAAAATAGAGGAATTTCTATGAACTGTGTACTGAAATATCATTGGAGCCTTACAGAGGCAGTTTTCATAAGCATTGCCATTTCTTGGTAGTATCTAAATTTTATATTTATATACAGTTATATTTGTAATTATAACAGTTCTAATAGCCAATATGATGCTGTCCAAACAAAGTGAACTTTTTCACAGAAGATTACATAATGACTTCACAAGCTGTTACCAATAACACCAATAATGTTCATGTTTCATTGATATTTCAATTAGTCAAAAAAGCTCCCTAAAGTTATAAAAGTAAATAGTCAAACTCTACCTGGCATTCTGGACAACCATGACTTGGCTGCAACGACCCAGTATGGAGACACAGTGCATTCATTACACATAGACGTGAAAGCACAGGAAGCAACCAAGATAAAATATAAGATACACATAAAAGACATAACTCAAAGGCATACATTAATTTTGACAGTACAAAAATGACCCGCACCACATTGATCAGGAATGTGTTACGGTCACAGATGGTCCAGTGAAAATACTAAAGAGCCAACACATACATATACAGCAAACACAAGCAAAATTATCATTTATAATCCTATAATCAGTCCAAACATGCATTTATCACAAAAAGAATAATGATAATTATTTTTCTGGCAACTATTGCTTCAAAAAATCATTTGCAGTTTAAAAAAATCACATTTTAAAGACCTGACATTTTAAATCATGTTTTATATAGCCTGTGGATCACCTATAGTTCTTTTTATTTCAAATCTAAATTAAACAAAAGTTACCTTCAGTTCTTTAAAAAAAAAATAGATACACAACTACAATGTGCCATGACACAGTGGGAAAAAGTAAACCAATTCCAGTAAAAAAACAAAACAAAACATTTTACAACAGCAACACTGGCCCTTGCTGTGAAGAGCTCTCCATGAATCACAGGATGAAAAGTTCATAAAATATTGTATTATTGGATATTTCTAAAGACAGTGTTATTCAGATCAGTAAATAAAGTACACACAAATAAACACTCTAACAAAGGAATAGAAGAGGTGTTGGAACTGCTTACTCCAACCTGCCCTTGGAAAATGGAATATGAAATCTAATAGGTCACTATCAAAAAACCTACTGCTAATACAAGGAGAGTTTAAAGGCCAAAGGTTATTTCATTTTTTTTTCCATAGTGCCCATGCATGCAAAGATTGTAGCCTAAATGCACCAATTGTATTTGAAATGTACAGAGATTGAGAGCTTCACCATCCATAAAAATTCAGCATCACATAGCCATGTATTGCAATCTGGTTTCAAACATAGCCAGACATCCTATTACACTTTCCTGCACTCTGAAGTGTTTTGCAGCTTCCAGGGGGCTTAGTAATAGATTATGATGGGTGTAATGCATCAGAGTGCAGGAGAGTGGAATGCAATGTTTCACATCACATTGTAATAAATGGCTGCCAAATTTCTATGGATGATGTAACTCAATCTTTGTACATTACACTGGTGTTGGCAGCCTGAGACATACATGGCAGGTAAGAGATGTTCGAGTGGGCAAACCTGGAGCAATGCCATGTTTTGTTGAACTTTATTTTTGCTCTCATGTTACAGGTTTATACATATATGGCAATCACTGAGCATTACATTCTTCTTCCTTTTCCATGGCCACTGATGTTAACTGTTATTTGTCACAACTAAGGTCTGTATTTCTATAATACATTTTATCTTTATTAGAATTATTGCAAATGTTCATCTTACCCTCTTCCTGGAAGGAGATATACTTTCACAAAAGGGTCTGAATATCCATTATTATCTCTGGGAGCAAGATTCCTTGCTTGAAGTATATGGATTATGAGATTACCAAGATGTTTATCATAATTAACCTGGAGCTGCAATAAAAGAGAAGACAATGTTATTATGAAAAACAAATGTCCAAATGCAAAACCTCTTATCATTTTTCTGAAGAGTAAACAACTTCAAGTAAGTTATTTTACATGAAGGTCAGAGCACATTGATGACCATGTAGTCGGAAAAAGACGTCTCCAAAGGTCTTCAGCTAGAATAGTGATTGGAGATTTCTTGGCTTGTGTCTCTAAATGTGACTGGTAGACTTAGAAGTCTGCTTTATCAAAAAATGAGATACATTTTTCATACGTTTATACTAAAGTTTGATGCCATATTCTTTATCCCTGTTTTAATAATTCTTTAGAACTAGCAATGAATTTGAATAGTAGTGCTTTAAGAATGCATTATACTCAAAAACAAATCCCGGAATATAGGCAGTCCCCGGGTTACGGACATTCGACTTACGGACAATCCGTACTTACGGACGGGGTCCACAGTTCTCCTAAATGTACAGGCAGCTGCCGGTACATTTAGGAGAACTGTGGCTGCAGCGGCCCTATGTCCTTTTAAATCCCCGCTGCTCTCTGCGCCTGTGTTGGCGGAGGCAGCGGGGACACAGACCGCTGCATACCGCCGATGCCCCACGTACCTCTGCTGATGTGCCGGCTTCCTCTTCAGCCGTTCCGTCGGCTTCCCCAGTCCGGACGATTCTCCGGTCTCCTGGTCCGGCCGTGGCTTCCCTGCTCCGCCCCCCTGCCTACTCTTAATTGCAGGCTGGGAGCCATAGCCAGCCTGCTGTTGGATATTGTAAAATGCAATTGCCAATAGCAAGCTGGCTATTGCACCCGCCCACTGTCTGCTGTCAATCAGCATGGGGGGACCTGATAGAGAACTTTCTGCTTCAGGCCCTTCCTCTGCTGACTCACAGCAGGCAGTGGGCAGATTCAATAGCCAGCCTGCTATTGGCTATTGCAATTTGAAATATCCAATAGCAGGCTGGCTATGGCTCACAGCATTAAAATACAAAAAAAAAAGTTTAAAAAATTAAATTAAAAAGACAAAAGAAATGTAAAAAAAGTAAAGAAAAAGTTAAATAAATAAAAATTAAAAATGCAAATAAATAATAAAAAATTAAGTTTATAAAAAAAATTAAAAATAGAGAAAAACTTTTTTTGCAGTGTCATTTTAAATAAAATGTTTTTTTTTATTATATTATAATCTTCTGAACAACAGGAACAGACAGCAAAAGAACCGTGATCCTTCCCTATGCTATCCAAAACTAAAAAATTTTTTTTGGCTGGAGTTACACTTAAAAAATGTACCTGTTCCAACTTACATACAAATTCAACTTAAGTACAAACCTAAAGTACCTAACTTGTATGTAACCCGGGGACTGCCTGTATCATTGAAATGTTTAAATCCACACATAAGGGCAGGAAAAAAAGAAATGGAATTTTAGATTTTAGATACCTGAATGTCACCAGTAATAGGATGCGAGTGTGATTTTACAGCTTCAGTGGGCTGAAAAAGAAAATAGTTTTTCAAAGCACGCATTATTTTGAATGCAATTTTTTCACAAAACAGTCATGTTGGTATCTTTCACGGTTTGCATTGATTGCATAAAAGTAAATGACCTGTTGCAAAGACAATTTCACCTGCCCAGTAACATCATTGCAGCATCTAGAGCACCAGAAGGAACACTCGTGACAGTCACTAGCGATGCACAGAAAGTCACTGACATTGACAACAGATGCATTCAATAAAATAAATGAAGGATAAAGATAATGGAGGAAACGGGCAGCTCCTGAATATTTTATGTGCACAGCTGTCAGTTCTCTCACTTCATGTTGCTGGATCTAGTCCCGGCATCTTTGCCATAGTGTGTCCTTTTTCACTGACTGCAGAACAGGCATGTCCAAATGTGCCAGTGATGTCATCAAATGATACATTTAACTGCATTGCAATGGGACAGCCTATTTCAGCCTTTGTCAGGTTCCCTCTGCAGTTTAGCAATCAAGTCCTAATGGCTATTATGACTGCAATCCTGGTAATATTAATTGAGGAAACACAAACCTCCTTGCAGGGTTTTTTTTGTGAAAAGTGGGCACTCCTTAGTCTCCGTGCCGTGTGGAAGCTTAAGTCTATCAACACTTACACAAAGGGTACACACTAATGCATGAAAGCTAAGGCCTTGCTCACACAAAGCGCGTTCCAGGAGCAGAGCAGTTACAGACCGGATCAAAACTGCGTCCAATGTATTCCAATGGTATTTTGGTCTCTAGTGCACACCGCAGCGTTCAGTTCCAGATCATGTAAAAACTCAGTGCAAGTCTATGGGGGTAGAACTCAGAAACTGAAATGTCCCCATTTTGAAGCCTTATATGCAATTAATTGGGCATAAAAAGTATATGCGGATCCAGGTACTGCCCTGGGGGACATGTATCAATGAAAAAAACACTTTTAAAAAATTAATTTTTGGGTGTTTAGTGCCTGGGGGGTCCCCTTTCACTGACCGTAAAGTGGCGCATCTGTATGATGTATAGAACCTGCTAGATTCTTTTCCAAAAAATTATAAAGAAGATGTCAGCATTTCATGAGCAACTACCTACAAGGAGTACACGCAGAGATATTTCATAAATATGTTAAATTATATCTAAAGTCCCTTGTCTTTCTAACTTTAGAACGCTAGAAAATTATGCAAAAGATTAATTAAAAACCCATCAATCATATTTGTCTTTAAATGTATTGACCATTCATATTTACCTTACTGCTGTGTCTTTTCTTGCTCACTGAAGGGGAGCCAGGCTGACCAGGGCTAGGGACTGCACTGGAGGCTGCTGATGTTGTTCCGGAATGTATATATGATCCTTTCTCCATTGCAGAAGACACAACAGAAGGTGTCTGCTGCTGGGAAACCTTCTGGAGTTCAGCTGCTAACTGTTTTGGATCCACTCCAGGCGACTTTGTTTTTTCCACTGTAATTTTATACATAAAACATAAGGACTTCATAGAAAAGTAGCATTGCATTTGGGACAATTTTACCAATGTACTTCTAACTGTTAAAGCCTCACATAAATGACTTTATAAGACTTTTTAAACCTATGTACTAATCCTGGTTTGTGAACATTGTACATGTATATACATGCAATATAAGAAGACCTCCTATTTTGTTTGCAATCACTTTTAATATTACACTTCAGCATTAATGGATATTTATCCCATATAGGCTTTAATAATTTGTACCTGTCAGCTGCGGGTCTACTGATTTGTGAAAAACCTTGTGATTACTTGTAATTCCATAGAGAACTGTTTATTATATTTTGGGTCAGACAAGGCTTTCTTTTGCTAGTTTTCTCTAGTTTTTTCCTAATTTTATCTTCAGGTGTTTTTTTTAACTAGTGATTTTTTTAACCACTTTAGGACCACCATATGTACATACATCATGGTCCTAAAGTGATTAAAACAAGATCATGGCAGCAGCACTAGCCACAATCTTGGTATCATTTTTTTCAGTCGACTGCTGGCTTTCACATACCCGATCACTTGTAGGGGCCTGAGAAGGTGCTGCCTCGCTTTGCCGCTATGTATTTCTGGCTTCATTGTCCCTTGTGCAGGCCCGGGACCGGCAAGACTGGTGAAGACAGGTGGACTGGGGGGAGAGCAGCACACACCCACTGTGTGAACTCACCTCTGGTAACTGAACCCAGAAGGCATGAGGATTCTGTCACTACTGGTTTTGGGCTGTATTTCCTCCAGGCATAGCAGCCAGAGGAGAAGCTAGTAAAGCCTTATCTGCTTCACCAGCTTCAGTGAGGTCCATAGGTAACACTAGGGGTCTATTAGACCCGCGATGTCTCCATAAAGAGCAACTGTTACTTCCATGCTACCACATAGAGGGCTAATAAGCCTCTCTTTCAAGTCTGATCCCTTCTATCTTCACCTTGTAAAATGCTCTCTGCACCTTTTCTTCTACAATAGTGTCCTCTCTCCTATCCTGTCCTCTCCTTATTGCTGCACTCATCAGCTCCTGCTAATTCTGAAACCACATGCTGACATAACTTCCAGGACACTGGAACATATGTACTCATATAAATCTCACTGCAGTCTTACTTTACTCACCTTCCTGCTTCTCCTATATATTTTCCCTAATCCTGACCCTTTACTAGCTTCCACCCCCATACCTGGTACCCTCCTTCCTTTAAAAGCAGCAACAACCCACACAGTCTAGTTGTTATTCCCCTTCTTTCGAGAACCAGCCCCCCTTTTCATGTGCCCTCTGGAATGTATGCGCTGACTATAACAAAGTCATCCCTGTACATTCATTTTTTATCTCCAAAACCTTTAACCGCTTGAAGATGAGGTGTTTAGACCCCATTCCTGGCCAGGCCATTTTCAGTATTAAGCGCTGCGGTACTTTGACTGAAATTAATGTTATAAAAAATTTTGGGGACAGATAGAGCTTTATTTTGGTGGTATTTAATCACCTTTGATTAATTGTGGGCATAGTGTTCTGTTTAGGCTTTTCTTCTTCTTTTTTTTTCTCTGTATATCTCTATGGGTTGGACTCGATGGACTTGTGTCTTTTTTCAACCTGACTAACTAAGTAACTATGTAACCACTGGGGTTTTTATTTTTTACTATATTTCGGAAAAAATACTGAAAACATTGGGGAAAAAAGTTTATTTTTAATTGTTAGGAAACAATTATTATTACAGAATGTTTTGGTAAAATATTAAAGACGGGGTCACAACGGGTAAATAGACATGAAAAATGTCAAGCTTAAAAATTGCACTCACCCGCGAAATCGCAAAAAACTACCATACCCAAAATTGACCATAAGCGACACTTTAAAAGAGTTTACCGCTCCTCTGTTTAGTGTTATCAGTGATTAATGGACCTAGAATTATTGCTGCGATGTTTGCGGTGATATGTAACATGTGCAGTGAAATGGGCGCAATCGTCGTTTTCGCAGGTATGCGCACATGACACATGTTTTCATGTGTGTATGTATGGGTGGGAACTTTAAAAAAAAAAAAGTTAAATTCTTTTTTATGTGTAACTAACTAATTTTTTTTCCTATTTTTTTTTCACTTAACTTTATTGCTATCACATAGGGGCTAAGAAACCCCCCATGTGATAGCAAAGAGGATGTGACAGGTCCTCTTTATGGAGACATCCAGGGTCACCAACACCCCTAATGTCACCTAGGGACCCCCCCCAAAGAAGCTGATGAAGCAGAGATCTGCTTCATCAGCTTCTCTCCAGCTTCTGAAGGCGGAGAGTGACACAAGAATGCGGAAGTGATGTAATATACATCACTTCCGCATTCTGACAGCGGAGGTGGGACCGGAGGGAGATCGTGAACCAATCTCCCTCTGATCCTCTGTGACAGAGGCACTATGCTGGTCCCAGGCTCACACCGGGCACAGTGGAGCCCGGGACCAGCGTGACATCGGGAGGGGGGAGAGGGGGACACGTCCCGGCAGCTTATACAAGCGATCCGCCAGCTCTATAGCCGGCGGATCGCTTGTATGTTAACAGGCATCGCTGCCTGTTTTAAAATGTTCGGTCTTTCCCGTTCACAAGTGGGCTAAAGACGCCTGCTCAGATCTAGACAGAACGGCTGGCCGGGAGGTAGTTAATCTACTTGCCATTCCCAAAACCTGGCTTCAGGAAACCTGACTCTGCCTCTCCAGCTGCCCTCTCTCGTGGTGGCATCTACTGGGCTCACTCAACCAGACCCAGTGGACAAAATGGAGTTGCAGTTGGAGTCCTTCTATCCATACTAAGTACTTTTGATGTTCTCTCCACACCTCTCTCAATCAATCTCCTATTTTGATGTTGCTGTATTTGTCTTTTCTCCCAGTTTCTCTGAGGATCGCTGTGATTTGCTGGTCAACAATAGCAACATTACGCTTCTTTGATGACTTCTCTGCCTGGCTACCCTACTTTCTCTCCTTTGAAATACCCACTATCATTCTTGTTGATAGCCTCCCATGGGTTCTAACACCATCTCTAGACAATGACACCCAGATCTGTCTCTAACCCTCAGCTTACCCCTTCAGTTTCACTATTTATTAACTGACATACCAGTTTCGATGTCACACCACTTCCTAAAACTCAATCTTTCCAAAAACGTGCAATATTACTCCCATGCCCCCCAACTTTTTCATTGAGATCAATAGCACAACTATAAGTTCCTCCCCTCATGCCAGGGTGCTAGGCACAATCCTGTACTCTGACCCATCCTTTCAGCCCCACATTCAATCACTGTTCTAATCTTGCAACCTTCACCTCATAAAATTTCCAGAATATGCCCCTTCTTAGCAAATTACATCACCAAGGTACAAATTAAGTCTCTGGTTATCTTTCATGTAGACTATTGTGACTCCCTCCTCACTGGCCTACCTCAACACAGGCTATCCCCCTTCAGTGTGTCATATGAATTCTGCTGCCAGACTCATCCACCTTATAAACCACTAATTTCTCACCAGTCTTCTTTGCCCATACCTCCAGTGGCTTCTTTGCCAATGCCTCCACTGGATTCCTCTCACCCAATGAATAAAACTCAAAATACTGACAACCACATACAAAGCCATCCTCAACTCAGTCCTAAGCTACATCACAAACCTTGTATAAAAATATCACCATTAACCACCCTCTTTATCCCTCCAAAGACCTCATACTCTCTAGCATCCTTGTCACCTCCTCCAATACCTTCAGGACTTCTCTAGAGCTTCTTTCACCTTCTGGAACATCTTCTGGAACTCCCTACCTCAATCTACCTAGCTATCTTGTACTCAGTCACCCTACTTAGTTATCTGAACCTAGCATTTTCACAGATCTAAGAATGGGCAAACTAAATAACCAGATCTGGCCAGTTCCCCTCAGGCAGCTGCAGCTGGAAGTCATACCACCACTGAATTGCAGCATCCTGCTTGTTTGTTTCACATTCCAAATAAACTGGTTGTCAGAGATCCCAGGTGACCTCAATAACCAAATAAGATCATGACCAAATTTAGTCAATTTACATCACCGAGGTAACCTGGTGCTGCGTTGTCACAGCAGTGGCAGAAAACTATCATTTGTGATGGGAGTAATGGCAGAAGATGATTGTCATGGTGCAGGTTATTCTGTCAGCAGGTCATCGAGGTGTTATTCATTGCAATTGATGTTGGATCTACATTGCTGAGTGACATGATTGATGTTAGATTTCAGGGGACAATGTTTGTTAATTTTTTTTTTTAATAAAAGATATCTTTACAGTGTCTGTGTGTTTATATTCTATTCTACTTAGTAATGTTACTAATGTTGTGAACAAGTAACATGGGGTATTATGTTCCCCTTACTCTTTCATGTAGGGTGAGGTCAGGCTACTGGAGGCCCCCCTACTTTAAATGTTTCAAAAATTTACTCCGAAAGACATGGTGTGGGGCCCCCTCCATATCCATAGCTATACTTAAAAAAACAAAACAATTTTAATTGTAATTTCTAATGTAAAAACTGATGACATGTTACTAGGTAACACATGGGAATATTAGGAATATATTGTATAATTGTATGTTTTATACTAATTTCAGCTCATGTATACCTCTCATGGATCATAGCATTTTCTTTTCTGCAATGGGCCTATTGATTGTGTAATCATTTTTGTAATTACAAAATATAATAAAGTAACAAATATATCCTTTATTAGAATAAACAAAGACTTTCTTTTGCAATATTTGGTAGCAAACATTATTTTAGTATATTTTAGTGTGACAAATTAGAAAAAAATATTTATGTATTTTTTTTGTTTATTAGCTGAAAATAACTAATGTTACTGTAAATAAAAAAGGGACATTTTATTCTAGAATTTGTATTTTTTATGATGAACTAAAGTCAAATTTCTGGTACAAAGCATGGAACAGTTATTTACAAATTTTAAAAAAAGCTTTTTAAGAAAGAAAAATGTATGTTTTTTTACTGTGTCACTACAAACATAAACAAAGTAAATTCAAACAAGAAAATGTACTTTAATAACAAAAATAATAGTAAACAAAATAATAGAAAGGAGAAAAGAAAAGGAAAGTGTTGATTAGAGCTGATTTTGATTACCCAAAGATCAATAGGGCACCATTACATTAGGTAGCATTTCAAAAGAAAAAACATTTTTTTTGGTGAATTGATACAATGTATTTTTAATGTACACTGCAACAAGTGTTCACAGGCTTGTTTTATTACAGGGGCCAGTCAGTGTTCTTGCGACACAGACTACGACCCAACTGTTAAAATAATGACTACTCACAGTGATTTCCCAACTTCTGGAGCTACAGCAAAGGTAAGAAAACCAGATACCAAGCTACGTCAATAAAGGTCTTTTCTTGGCCGTACCTGGTATGTCCAAGGTCCATAAATGGTTAATGAACAATTAATAAACAGTAAACATCTATAACAGATTTCTATTTCTTTCTACTGATTTTAGATTGCAAAACACAGAAACAACCCAAGCATGTGACTTACCTGCTTTCCCTGGTTCATGCAGCTCTAAGTTCTGAGGCGTTTCAGAATTGGATAGCATGTTGATATCTCTGAGAGAAATGGGGAAAGAAAACCTGAGAACCTGTGCTTTATCTTATTTACATTGCATTAAAGGGTTGAATGTTGACTAATGTTTTAGCTCAGCAACAGTATTACTCATGTTATTCCACATAGCTGTCAGTGCCAGTTTACCTATCAGTAAGGCAGAGACAGAACAAGCTTAGATATAAAGGATGTGAGATAAAGAAGGTTTATCAATGACAGTTTCTCATTCTAATAGTAAGCATTTAGTACAGGAGCATTTATTTTTTATTTTCCACACACGTTAAAATCTAAATTTTTGATTGTAAATTTTTGGATTTTAAAATTTTGGATAGTAAAATTATATATTTGCTGAAAGCAGAGGCCCTGTAGAATAAAAAATTATAGAAAGGAGAAAAGAAGAGTTGAATTTTGTCACACGATATTTGTGCAAATGATTATCACAACAATATTTTTAGGAAAAAAACACTAAAATTAATTTTAGTGCACACATACACAATAGAATACCCACATTTTTTGTATGAACTAAAAGATAGGGTTATGTTGAGTAAATAGATACCAAACATGTCAATTGTTAAAATTGTTTGCGCCCGTGCAATGGTGAAAAACTTTAGGGTCTATTCACGAAGCTGCCAAAGGATCTAGCTATAGCTTCGGCCGATCCTTCGGCTAGCTTCGGCCCCAGGACCCCTTCGGTTCAGTAGAACCGAAGGGGTGCTGTACGGGCTATTCACATGGCTCCGTGTCAGAATAAAGAAAAAAAAAAGAAAAAGCAGTGTTTCTCTCCAGGGCGGCCGGGAGCAGGAGGCTCCCAGAGCACCCAGGAGAGTTTTTTTTCTTTTTTTTGATGGCAGCAGAGCCGCCGGACAATAGAAAACTATTGGGTGGAGCTAGCTGTCACTGCTAGCTCCGCCCAATAATTTATATTTACTTTTTTTAACTTTTTAAACTATTTTTCTGTTCTGCTCGGTCCCTCTGAGGGACCGAGCAGAACAGCCGAGCCGAATGCCGCTCAGCGGCATTTGGCTTTTCACTCACTGCTGTTCGGCATCTATAAGAATAGGCCGAACAGCAGTGAGTAGCCTGCCGGTGGTTCGGCTCAGCCGATCCAGATGTTGGAAATTCATGGTTATACCTATCCGGTATGGGGAAATAATCATTTACATACAAGTGCATACCCTACGCAGCATGTTAATTTGCATGCAGATGGGGTGGTGTTGGACAGGGTTTATTATTTTTTACTTTAAATGTATGCATTTTTCTTCTGTTGTTAATTAATATTGTTTTCGCAGCTACTCAACCACTTCATGCCCGATGTAATTTCTTACTATTTGCACACAAGATAAAATCTGAATTTTTGGCTAGAAAACTACTTTAAACCTCCAAACAATGATATATTTTCTGAAAGCAGAGGCCCTGTAGAAAAGCAAAAGGCTAGTTGCAATTTTTTATGTTCCATAGTATTTGCACAATTGCTTATCAAATCAGCATTTTTAGGATAAAATACACTACAATGAAATTTGGTGCATAGAAATAGAATACAATACCCAATTTTTTATTAAAATATAAAATATGGAGTCATGCTTGGTAAATACATACCAAACATGTCAAGCCTTAAAATTGCATGCATCCGTGAAACCGCAAAAAAACTACAATACCCCAAATTATCCATAGGGGACACTTTAAAAGCTTTTACTGCTCATCAGTTTAGTATTACCAGTGATTGATGGCCTTAGAATTATTGCCCGCACTCCGATGTTTGCAACAATATTTAACATGTGTGGCACAATTTTCTTTTTTTACACGTAGTGCGTTTGCGTTATATGTGCATGCACGTGGGGGTCGGGGAATTTAAAAATGTTTTTGCATTTCTTTTATTTTTTTATGTTACTTTCATTTTATAACTTTTTTTTTACACTTAACTATTGCTATCACATAGAAGCTGACATCCGCTTCCCTTGCTTCTTCTCCTAGCTCTAAGAGTTGTGGAATGTGCACCGTGACACTGGAAGTGATGTAATACACATCACTTCCTGGTCCAGTGATCGGAAGGGGAGATCAGCAGCTGGAAGCACGGGGGCAGTGGACCACGAGGAAGCCGGCGGAGGCAGCGGAGGGGAGTGGGCACACAGCGCAGCACAGTATAAGCAATCCGACGGCTGTACAGCGGTCGCATTGCTTGTATTTAAACAGCAATCGGCTGCTGTTTAATTACTAGCCGTCCATGGCCGTTCCTGAACGGCTGGACAGGAGCCTTATAGGAGCGAGCGGGAGGGCGTCTCACACTTAGTTGAGCTATCCGGCAATGGAGCCACAACTAAAATGCTTTTATTCTTCTATGAGATTTTATCCAATGTAAGTTAATAAACTCTATTGATTTCAAACAAGTTTTGTAGTTTCGGCTGTGTCATTGGCACCCAAAAAGGCCAATATAACTGTATTCTTTTCTATATACGGTATATGTATAAAATATTAATTTACAAAAGTGTATTACAGTGTGTATTTATGTTACAAATTATACAATGCATGCTGGGCTTTTCAAAAAGAAAGCATAAAACTACCGAGAAATTTGATAGCAATTTTTAGTAAAACTATTTTATTTATTTATTTGATTAAAAAGAGAGTAAATCATAAAATTTTATTTCTAGTTCAAAATATAATCAACAAATAAAGTAAAGATATATATAAAAACCTTTAACAAACATGAAAATACAGTGTGCATATTTAAAATATTTCTATGATGCAGGGGACATGAGTCTAAACTGTTTTTAAAAAATGTCCCCCATAATTTCGCCCATTAACAGAAATTGTGTAATGGTCTAGTAGGTACTCCTGACCAAAAGTGCAATTATTTACTGAAACAAAGGAAGATGATGATGAACTCACAGTCTTACACATATTTCTGCTTCCCCACTTGATTGACTAATGATACTTTGAACTTCTTCATATGTCTTTGAAGTTAATGGGAAACCATTCCATTCTAAAATGTGCATTGCTGGAAAAAATGGTCACATATTGTTATTTAATTTTAAATATT